CCCCGCCCCGTCGTCCCCTTCCCGCCCCTCCGGAGCACCGCCCCCTGGTGGGTGGCGGCTGGCGGCGGGCGGCAGGCGGCAGGCGGCTAGCGACCGGGTTAGGGCCGCGGTCACGGTTTTTGGCGGTGGCACTCGTTCTCCCTTCCCGTTAAGCGAGAGAAAATCAAGTCGCAGCCGGCTTGGGCCGGTGTTGGGGGCGGCCGTGCGGGTCGATGAGGCTGTGAGGGCTTCCCCTGCTGCTTCTGACTCAAGTGTGAAGTGAGGTGTGAACAGGCCTTTCTGACCCAGACGGCCTCGACATACTCACCCGACGAGCGTCCCTTTTCTGTACACGTGCAAGTACCTTTGTAGGATCATTTCCTAGAAGTGGAATTACTAGGTCGAAGGTGCTGTTTCTGTTCCGATAAATGATGCCAAATTACTAAATTGTACCAATTTGCGGTTTCACCAACAATATATGTCGCTCAGGAATTTAAACTCGGATTTAGAGATTTGTTCACTTGGTAGCAGGATTAGAAACTGAAAAAAATACACAAAGAGAAGCGATGAAGGAGCAGACATAAATATTTAGATGTTATAAACAAGCAAAAAAGATACACCCAGTGGAGGGAGAAGCGGTAGGTAGTTGGTTGTTGAGCAGGAACGTCAAAATCAGGATAGGATCTGTGTTACAATAAATGGGGTATTGACCAAATCTTGCTGCCCAGGCTCTAGCAATTTGGCAGAATGTATTAACAGAGCCAAAGGAAAATGTGTTTATCGGAAAGGGGATTGGTTCCTAAAGGAATGGTTGTCAGGTGCTATCTAAGCACTGCTTAGAGCAGCGATTCTCAAACTTTAGTGAACATCAGAATCACCCAGAAGGCTTGTTAAAACACAGATTGCTGGGCCACACCCCAGGGTTTCTGACTTAGTAGGTTTATGAGGTGGGGCCACCCAGTTTTCGTTTCTAACAGGTTCCCAGGTGATGTTGATGCTGCTCTTGTGGGGACCACGCATTGAAAACCTCAGGTCAATGGCCAACAGATTTCAGATGTTCTGGTGGTATGTTTGAAATCATCCTTGTTGTGAAGGGATGCATTGTTTGTCTTCATCAAATGCCATTAAACATTTAGTTTATTTAACTTCTTTTTTGGGCTTCTGTGGCTCAGCACCTCTGTTACCACTTCTTTTCATTCTCCTTAGCTGACTCCTGCACCTCTAACTCACTCCTTAAATCATGGTGTTCCTCATGACCTTCACATACTTCTCCCTACACAATCTCAATCATTTCCATGCTTTAATGATAATTTTTATGCTGGTGACCCCCATATGTTTATCCCCAGCCCAGCTCTGTCCTCAAAGCTCCGGATATATACATCCAAATGTCTGTTGAACCTCATAGGCGTCTCAATTTGAATATGTCCAAAACTGAACTCAACCTCCATCCCCCTACCTGGCCCTCCAAAAATAAAGCCTGCTTCTTCTCTGTGTTCCCTACTTCAGTGACTGGTGGTACTACCAGCCAGCAATGGCACAGCTTTATGCTCTCAACAAATCCTGTCTCTTTTACCCCCTAAATATTTCTTGTACTCACTTGCTTCTTTTGGTCTCTGCTCTTATGATTCTAGGCAAGCTAAGATCACCTCTAGTCTAGTCAGTAGTCATAGTCTCCTATCCAGTCTTCCTGAATCGATTCTTGTCCTATTTCATTCCTTCCTCCACACTCAGCCAGAGTGCTCTTTAAGAAAGTATGTAATGAGCCCCTTCAGTGGCTTCCTAATAACACTCTGCCTTTGTGTGCTCAGGTTGCTATAACAAAATACCATAGACTGGTGGCGTAAACAACAGAAATTTATTTTCTCACGGTCCTGGAGGCTGGGAATTCCAAGATTAAGGTGCTGACCAAATCAGTTCCCAGTGAAGACTCTTTCCTTGGGCTGCAGATTTCTCAGTATATCTTTAAATGGCCTTCCCCAGTGGGTGCATGCAGGGAGAGGGTGAGGGTGAGGGTGAGGATTAATGGCCTTCTTATAAGGGTATCACGAGGATACCCTCATGCCCTACTCTAATCTAACCTTAATTACCTTCCAAAGACCACATCTCCAGATACCATTACATGGCGGGGTTAGAGTTTCACCATATGAATTTTGGAAGAACACAAACATAACATGCTATGAACTTCTAAATATAAGGACAAATATAAATAATATGTATTTTTTGTAGATTATATTAATGTTATTTTATATAGTAAATATATGATATGTTTACATATAGTAAATATATGATTTCACTGTAAGTAAATTTTACCTTAAAAAAAAGAAATGGTAAAAATTTTTGAGGTTTATGATATGCATGCTATAGTGTTAAGGAGTGAAGTGTAATGAAGTCTGCAAATTACTTTGAAATGCATCAAAAATAAGATGGATAAATGTATAGAAAGATAGATGTGGGTAAATATAATAAAACATTAACATTGTCAAATACATGGTCGTTATATGGGTGTTCACTTTTACCTTTTATATATATTTAGATGTTTTTATATTATGTTGAGGAAAAAATTAAGAAACAATTAAAATTTTACCACTATTTTTTTTTTTGTGGTACGCAGGCCTCTCACTGCTGTGGCCTCTCCCGTTGCGGAGCACAGGCTCCGGCTGCACAGGCTCAGCGGCCATGGCTCACGGGCCCAGCTGCTCCGTGGCATGTGGGATCCTCCTGGACCGGGGCACAGACCCGTGTCCCCCTCATCAGCAGGTGGACTCTCAACCACTGCGCCACCAGGGAAGCCCTACCACTATTTTAAAAACTTAAACAAAAGAGATTATAATGAACCCCGTGTGCCCATCATCCAGCTTCAAGAATTATTAATCTTGTTCTGTTTATATTCCCATGCACTGTCTCACCTCTACCTTCCTGAATTATTTTAAGGTAAATATCAGACATCACATTGTTTATTCTGCAGACATTTCAGTTTGTATCTTTAAAAGATAAGGAATCTACATTCATCAAATTATTGTTGAGCATATATGCTGTACTCAAGGGATACAATAGTGAACAACATAGACATGGTCTCTGATCCATGGTGCTTATAGTTTATGGGGAAGACAATAAACTAGTAAATAATTATAGATTATGATAAGTATATAGCCAGTTTGTGAAGTCTTCACTTGTGAGATATAAATATGAAGCGATTTAATTTGTTTCCCCTATAACCATTACCACTGTCTTTAGAAATTCACATAACTCTGTTGAACAGATTCCCTTAAGAATATTCTACTCTGGTCCCATAACTGTGCAGTCACTTTCAGTAACTAATACAGTCCCATTCCAAGTATTATGACTTAGGCCTGCCCGTTTAAAATCTTTAATCTCTTATATAATTCATAGCTCTTCCCGTTTTCCTGGTGCAGGTGGACTTGTGGCTACAACAGTTCTTAGTGGAGGGAGTGGTAATGTCACTCCCTTTCTTTCTGCTTGGCTCTGCTCCTAAGTAGGGGTGAGGAGGAGGGAGAAAGAATGTTCTCTGCAAGACTGTCCATGAAGAGTTATCTGTTCTTTTTCTTCTGGTTGTTGCTACTTCAGTATCAGTTCTCCCAATGTGTCAGGAGTCCGGATGCCAGCTCTCTTACTTGGAATGGGCACATTGTTGCTCTCTGGGGCCTCCCCTCTGCACTCTCTAATGTAGGAGAGGTCAATCTAAACCCTTTCTCCCAGACATCCCCAGCAGTCCCTGCCAGGGGCAGTCTAACATATAGCCTTTTGTTGTTGGGGGATCTTTGTCTGGAGGGGTTTCTTGGGGAGTGCCAGCAAGGGCCTTAAGCCTCAGCCACCTTCTGTGCTCTCCAGTTGACTCACGCATGGAGAATTTACGTGCATAACTCAAGGAGGAAGGGAATGCAGGCAGCTCCCATCTTGGTGCTCTTCTCTTAGCATCAACTAGCTCTCTCCTCCCTTCCTTTACCCCTAGGGGCATCAGAGGCTTATGCAGGGCAATAGTTCTGTGACTTTCAGACAAGTTCTCAGCTTGGGGAGTGGAGAGAGGAGTAGTTTACTGCACTTTAAACTTGTGGGAAGGGAATGGGAGAACAAGATGAATGGCCTCCATCCTCTTTAGCGAGAGAAAAGCAATGGATGGTTGCCATCTACAATAAGTAATGTTCATTCATGGATATATGAACAAATTGGAAAAAAATTCAGATATCTACTTCTGTTACAGAATTTATGATAAAGTGATTAATATTAGTAACTGACTTTCAAGCACACAAATAGTGATAAGACTTCAGGGGTACAACAGTGTGCCGATTGTATATATCTTTCTCATCAGCCATCCTGCCTGAAACTCAGGAAATATAGGGTCCCTGGTTGTATAATATGAGTACACTTGAAAAGTTCCTTGTCCTTATCTGGCAACCCAGATGGATGAATACCACCCCGAAGTTGCCTTTCTTAAAACCGTTAAGTAGTGTCACTTATGTTTTCTTGGCCATCCTGCATCTGTCTTGAAACAGGCTGCTACCCAAGACTTCCCAAGTTTATGATGATGTTTTTTTCAGAAATTAGTATGTATGTGTATTTTTCTTTTTCCTCTGGGTGACTTATATTATTTTTTCCAGATTTATTGAAATATAATTGACATATAACATTGTGTAAGTATTAGGTGTACAGTGTGATGTTTTTATATATGTATATATTGGGAAATGTTTACCACAATAAGTTTAGCTAATACATCCTTTATCTCACATAATTACCATTTTGTTGTTATGGTGAGAACAGTAAAGCAACATTTAAGTATATAATACAGTATTATTATCTATAGTCATCATGCTGTACATTAGATCCCTGGAACTTATTCATC